AGAGGATGAGGAGATGGTACCGACTGAGCTCAACACGATTAATAGCATGGCAGGGTTCTTGGTGGTGGCACCTGATAAGTTGTCGATGAAGTATACTGCCGTAAGCCTCCATGGCCATGATATCGGTGTGGTTCAAGGCAATAACCCAATTCCTGTAAAGCGTTTGGATTATCACTTCGAGATTTATGTGAAGGACGTTGGAGTCAAGGGTCAAACTGCTATTGTATTCACCAGTGAAGGCTTCAAGATGCGCAGACAATCGGGGTGGGAAGTAAACAATTGCGGGTATCATGGGGATGATGGTAGGCTCTATCGTGGGCAAGCAAAGGGAGATGCTTTTGGTCTAACATATAAAACAGGAGATACGATTGGTGGCGGCATAAACTTTGCTTCACAGGAATTCACAAAAAAATGAGTTTATGATTCCAACATGAAAAATCACTTGGGTGGTGTCTAGAAAAATAAAGTGGAAAAATCACAATCATGAGTCCTCCATGTTTGGTAAGAACTTGAACTTGTCTCCTAGTTTCCATTAGTTTTGTTTGTGGCTCAATAGTGCAAATTAATTCGGTCCAGTCCCTAATATTAGTGATTAATTATTAAAGTAACCCCACAAGCATTCTATTATACTAATTGGGTTTCCAAATTATTATTTCAATTCTAATAAGCTATCTTTATGGCGAGGAAAATTATTTGGATACGAGTTAGTAGTTTTGATGGTATGGATCGAGAGGGAAATATTGGAAGTTGAATCGAAGATCAAAGGCGTTCGAATAGAATTTTTATGGTCGATCAGTATTGCACGGAAATCGAGGTAATACTTTACTACCTCTTTATGTTTTATGGAACATGTTTATATTGATAAATGCAGGAACAAGATAATGTTGGTCACTTTGGTGGAGTTGAATAATTTATACACTCGATATGATGTGATAGAAATTATGTAACTAATTACGGATCGAATGACTAATATAAGAAATTGAGGAATTGTTAGATTAAATTACAAGGTTGTGATTAGTGATAAAGAAATTAGCCCTGTATCTGCAACTTATAATTTATTTCATCAAAGGTTAAATGTTAAAGGTACTTGGATGAAAAATTATAATTATTTTCGTTAAGAGCTAATATTGAAATTATCTGGTTAAGAAATTACGAAAATGCCCTTGAGAGATAAAATAGTCTGAATTGACCCTGAATGAGAGAGTACTTTGAGGATTTGTACTTAACTCGATTAAGTATAAATTTAATTGTTAAGATCCTGTCTTTGTACAGAAAAATTTATAATATTCCGTTTGTAAAATCTGAGAAGACACTTGACCTGAAAATATTCGAATAAGGAGTAAATACTTAAAGAGTAATTTATCGGAGGTATTCTGCTGACAGAATTGTTCGAAAGGACTGAAGTAAATGATAAGATTGAATTAAATAATAAGACCGGATGGAAGGAAATGATTGAAATATTCTAGAATTATAAAATGACCAAATTACCCCTGGAATGGAAATGACTCAAGAATGTCACCAAGCTCAGGAATGAATGGATATACTCAAGCTTTGAAATGAATAGAAAAATGTTGAGCACCAATATGACCAAAATGCCCTTATGACCTAGAATAAGTAAATGTCTTGGATTAATTAAGAAATCCAAATAAACATGAATGTTGTGCTACCAGTAAAAGTTATGGAATGCAACTTAAGTGATCAACTAACGTTAGTACTATATCATTACCTGAATGATATAAGTATCACTTGAATGTTTGTTTATCTTCTCAAATTTGGATCGATGATAATTCTAGAAGTACTTGGCTCAGCTCAACTCTAGAGTGCATACAGTACTAATAAGTGGGTATTCGTTAGTCAAATCAACCACGAATACCAGAATGACTTTATTATATGAATAAATTGAAATAAAATGAAGTACAACGTGTATTTGAAATTCAGAAACGTTGGAATTATTCTGGAAAACTTTAAAGTAATCGGGATAGACTTGCTTACCAAACGAACTAAGTAACATCAATGACTAAGGATTAAATAGGTGATTTGATGAGTTTGGAAACACTGTTGAACTTACATGATGAATTGTCATTATGTGTTATGAGCCATGGATCAAGTACGTCAGTATTTCCTGATATTGTTGAAACATGGAAATGAAATAAAGACCGTTGGAAGATTTATTCAGTGATGATTATGGGGATGATCTATGGATCTGCATTATGGTATTAAAGAGTGAATACACTGGAAGGATAATGAATTGACTTGTTGACATGCATCAGTTTGAGAGTTGTGTAACTCGAGTTGTCTGATAATATGATCGATAGTCGTAGACTGTGAATGACTTGAATCTTCGATTCTATATTTCATCTAAAATCACTTTGGTCATGTTTGAAAAAAAAAACAAGTAACGCAGAAGGAAAAGATTCTGAATATCTCATTTGGTTCAATTGGGCTGAAATCCTATGAATTCAAAGTATATTCCTGAATACCCCTGATTATTTGGGTAATAGAATCACTCGCAGTAAATATGAATTTAGAATTATTATGTATAAAGGTTCCTGAACGTTTTCCTAATGCACACGAAAATATAGTGGGATTCTAATGTATCAACCTTAAATGTCTGGCTAGATCGGTTAGTAATCGATTCTCCTCAATAAGACCTTGTTCCTGGAATTCGATCAAATTTCATAAGTTTCATGTTATCCAAAATGATAACTACAATGGCCTCTGAAAATACTTGGATTCTCTAGTGTGTTCCCTAATTATTACTGAACTATTTTATTGGTTTTAATATGAGGTACACTGAGTTCTTTGGTTACTGTTTTATTGATGCACCAATTTAATGTGATGATTTATGGAATTTTTGTCACGGTGCAATTGAACTTTTGGATTGAATTACAATAGTATAGCTCTGATCAAGCTAATAAACAGAATGGGCCTAATGTGACTCTTGGGGCCCCAAGATACATTAGGTTGCCTTCCCTTGCTGTGTGCTTAGGGTAAGCTATATGGACTTGGACTTACGGGCTTAAGGATACAAGCTATAAAGCTTATCCTTAGGTTGCCTTTCTTTTTGCTGTGTGCTTAGAGTAAGCTATATGGAAAATAGTTTTGGAAATTACTGATGGTGTACAAGAAAAGAGTTTAAACTATGATTTTCAAAAGTTAAATTTCATTATGATTTTATGAGATTTACTGAACTATCATTTGATAAGTGTACCTATTATGATTTTATTATACTGTTGGAACACACTAGACATCCTATTCGATCTCCTGAAAATGTCATACTTTGAAAGGTTTCTTATGAACTGAGATTCATGGCTTCTACTCGATGAACTTCTAAGGGAACCCCAAATTATTCTACAAGCTGGTATACGTATGATTCAATAAGGAAATTATATGGCTTTCCATTTATCTACATGTCATGTAGCATCATCTGGTAGTTCTGTATTACTGAGCTTTCCAAAGCTCACTCTATTACTCACCTTTTCAGGTTAAAAGAATTGTACCAGTGCATCTATCGACTTCAGTAAGGGAGTTCTTCCGGTGTTGTTGCAGAGTATGGTACATGTGATTAGGGGGCATGAAATTGTATTTTGATTTATATACGAGTTTGGAAATCTGTTTTATTTTTAAATAGTGAAAACTGATTTTATAAGTTTACATGTTCTGATAAAAAGTTTTAAATTTTCCGCCATTTTTTACAGTGGGTCGCTCCGGTGGCCCTAATGTGACTTCCCGGATCGGATCGGGCTACCCGCATCGGTCTGAGGGTTACGTTAAGTGGTATCAGAGCTATGGTTTGATTCAAAAGTTTTCAAGATAGACCGGCCGGTCGAATGTCAAAATATGTCTGATCAGTACATGCCCCTAGACTACAATCGTACCTCTCTGAGTCGGAACTCCAAGGCTGAGTACCTATCTATAATGAGTAAACCGAAGTTTCTATCCGTTAAGGCTATATTTGTACAAAAAAAATAATACCGGTAACATTTGTTTAAACGCTATGAAGTACCTCACGATCCATGTGAGAGTTATTTATCTGAAAAATTCTGACTTGACTCCGAAATGAAATTGGGATATGCTACTGCTCTGTGAGCCTATTCTCATGACAAAGAGTGAATTGATTACTCAAGGAATTTTTCGTTCGGATTCTTTTATTGAAATGAGGAAGAGTTCTGATAAGAATGTATAATCAACTGGTTAAAGATTAATTGAGGATCTGTATTTCTATAAGAGCTACATGAAAGATATGAAAGAACTGATGGAAATTTCATTTATGCAATTATGTGACATGAATGAATTTCGAGGACAAAATTCTTTTAAGGAGGGGAAAATTGTCACACCCCAATTTAGGAGCTAAATTTTATAATTTTTTAGTATTAATTTTAAAGTGGTATTTTGGAAGAAATTAAGGAATAAATTGTAAAATCGTAAAGTTGGATTAACTAGAAATGTTGAGTGGAATTAAGGGACTTTATGTGTAAATTAACCCCTCTTTGGATTAAAATTAAAGTTTTTCTTGTATATAAATAAAAGGCTAAACAGCTTAACTAAATAAAAAAAATGTTAGAGTTTGTTTAAACAAGCTCGTGTAGTTGAGGGACATTTCTTCAACATGTATTTTTGTAATCAAAATTTCCACTTGTGTTAACTTTCAACGCATCTGTAGCTTAGTTAAGGGTGTGACGTGATGGTTTTAAGGAATAAATAATAATAACCATTAGGATTAATACATAGGCTTTAAATCAGACATGTGCCTCAATAATTGATCAAGGCTGAAATCAGGATGGAGAAATTTGAACTAAAATACGTTGGATCTTTTGTTTACCCACCCCAGACTGCACCTCAACCTCCACCAACCATATTTTATATTATCTATTTCAATAATTCTAGGAAAAATCATTTTTTTCCAGGAAAGACCGAAACTTTAAAAATAAAACCCAAGGAACAAAAGGATATCTTAAAACGAAATTTTGGAGTTTCCTTTTTAGATATCTTTGGTAAAAATGAACTCCAGCCAGCGCAACAACGGAATCAATAACAGTTTCGATAGCTTAAGACAAGATCTCGGTTTATACTTCTTGGAGCTGGCTCAGATCGACTCATTTAAGGCTCCGGTGGAGATGGAAGAGGATGAGGAGATGGTACCGACTGAGCTCAACACGATTAATAGCATGGCAGGGTTCTTGGTGGTGGCGCCTGATAAGTTGTCGATGAAGTATACTGCCGTAAGCCTCCATGGCCATGATGTCGGTGTGGTTCAAGGCAATAACCCGATTCCTGTAAAGCTTATGGATTATCACTTCGAGATTTATGTGAAGGACGTTGGAGTCAAGGGTCAAACTGCTATTGTATTCACCAGTGAAGGCTTCAAGATGCGCAGACAATCGGGGTGGGAAGTAAACAATTGCGGGTATCATGGGGATGATGGTAGGCTCTATCGTGGGCAAGCAAAGGGAGATGCTTTTGGTCTAACATATAAAACAGGAGATACGATTGGTGGCGGCATAAACTTTGCTTCACAGGAATTCACAAAAAAATGAGTTTATGATTCCAACATGAAAAATCACTTGGGTGGTGTCTAGAAAAATAAAGTGGAAAAATCACAATCATGAGTCCTCCATGTTTGGTAAGAACTTGAACTTGCCTCCTAGTTTCCATTAGTTTTGTTTGTGGCTCAATAGTGCAAATTAATTCAGTCCAGTCCCTAATATTAGTGATTAATTATTAAAGTAACCCCACAAGCATTCTATTATACTAATTGGGTTTCCAAATTATTATTTCAATTCTAATAAGCAATCTTTATGGCGAGGAAAATTATTTGGATACGAGTTAGTAGTTTTGATGGTCTGGATCGAGAGGGAAATATTGGAAGTTGAATCGAAGATCAAAGGCGTTCGAATAGAATTTTTATGATCGATCAGTATTGCATGGAAATCGAGGTAATACTTTACTACCTCTTTATGCTTTATGGAACATGTTTATATTGATAAATGCAGGAACAAGATAATGTTGGTCACTTTGGTGGAGTTGAATAATTTATACACTCGATATGATGTGATAGAAATTCTGTAACTAATTACGGATCGAATGACTAATATAAGAAATTGAGGAATTGTTAGATTAAATTACAAGGTTGTGATTAGTGATAAAGAAATTAGCCCTGTATCTGCAACTTATAATTTATTTTATCAAAGGTTAAATGTTAAAGGTACTTGGATGAAAAATTATAATTATTTTCGTTAAGAGCTAATATTGAAATTATCTGGTTAAGAAATTACGAAAATGCCCTTTAAAGATAAAATAGTCTGAATTGACCCTGAATGAGAGAGTACTTTGAGGATTTGTACTTAACTCGATTAAGTATGAATTTAATTGTTAAGATCCTGTCTTTGTACAGAAAAATTTATAATATTCCGTTTGTAAAATCTGAGAAGACACTTGACCTGAAATATTCGAATAAGGAGTAAATACTTAAAGAGTAATTTATCGGAGGTATTCTGCTGACAGAATTGTTCGAAAGGACTGAAGTAAATGATAAGATTGAATTAAATAATAAGACCGGATGGAAGGAAATGATTGAAATATTCTAGAATTATAAAATGACCAAATTACCCCTGGAATGGAAATGACTCAAGAATGTCACCAAGCTCAGGAATGAATGGATATACTCAAGCTTTGAAATGAATAGAAAAATGTTGAGCACCAATATGACCAAAATGCCCTTATGACCTAGAATAAGTAAATGTCTTGGATTAATTAAGAAATCCAAATAAACATGAATGTTGTGCTACCAGTAAAAGTTGTGGAACGCAACTTAAGTGATCAACTAACGTTAGTACTATATCATTACCTGAATGATATAAGTATCACTTGAATGTTTGTTTATCTTCTCAAATTTGGATCGATGATAATTCTGGAAGTACTTGGCTCAGCTCAACTCTAGAGCGCATACAGTACTAATAAGTGGGTATTCGTTAGTCAAATCAACCACGAATACCAGAATGACTTTATTATATGAATAAATTGAAATGAAATGAAGTACAACATGTATTTGAAATTCAGAAACGTCGGAATTATTCTGGAAAACTTTAAAGTAATCGGGATAGACTTGCTTACCAAACGAACTAAGTAACATCAATGACTAAGGATTAAATAGGTGATTTGATGAGTTTGGAAACACTGTTGAACTTACATGATGAATTGTCATTATGGGTTATGAGCCATGGATCAAGTACGTCAGTATTTCCTGATATTGTTGAAACGTGGAAATGAAATAAAGACCGTTGGAAGATTTATTCAGTGATGATTATGGGGATGATCTATGGATCTGCATTATGGTATTAAAGAGTGAATACACTGGAAGGATAATGAATTGACTTGTTGACTTGCATCAGTTTGAGAGTTGTGTAACTCGAGTTGTTTGATAATATGATCGATAGTCGTAGATTGTAAATGATTTGAATCTTCGATTCTATATTTCATCTAAAATCACTTCAGTCATGTTTGATAAAAAAAACAAGTAACGCAGAAGGAAAAGATTCTGAATATCTCATTTGGTTCAATTAGGCTGAAATCCTATGAATTCAAAGTATATTCCTGAATACCCTTGATTGTTTGGGTAATGGAATCACTCGTAGTAAATTTGAATTTAGAATTATTATGTATAAAGGTTCCTTAACGTTTTCCTAATGCACACGAAAATATAGTGGGATTCTATTGTATCAACCTTAAATGTCTGGCTAGATCGGTTAGTAATCGATTCTCCTCAATAGGACCTTGTTCTTGGAATATGATCAAATTTCATAAGTTTCATGTTATCCAAAATGATAACTACAATGGCCTCTGAAAATACTTGAATTCTCTAGTGTGTTCCCTAATTATTACTGAACTATTTTATTGGGTTTAATATGAGGTTCACTGAGTTCTTTGGTTACTGTTTTATTGATGCACCAATTTAATGTGATGATTTATGGAATTTGTGTCACGGTGCAATTGAACTTTTGGATTGAATTACAATAGTATAGCTCTGATCAAGCTAATAAACAGAATGGGCCTAATGTGACTCTTGGGGCCCCAAGATACATTAGGTTGGCTTCTCTTGCTGTGTGCTTAGGGTAAGATATATGGACTTGGACTTACGGGCTTAAGGATACAAGCTATAAAGCTTATCCTTAGGTTGGCTTTCTTTTTGATGTGTGCTTAGAGTAAGCTATATGGAAAATAGTTTTGGAAATTACTGATGGTGTACAAGAAAAGAGTTTAAAATATGATTTTCAAAAGTTAAATTTCATTATGATTTTATGAGATTTACTGAACTATCATTTGATAAGTGTACCTATTATGATTTTATTATACTGTTGGAACACACTAGACATCCTATTCGATCTCCTGAAAATGTCATACTTTGAAAGGTTTCTTATGAACTGAGATTCATGGCTTCTACTCGATGAACTTCTAAGGGGACCCCAAATTATTCTGCAAGCTGGTATACGTATGATTCAATAAGGAAATTATATGGCTTTCCATTTATCTACATGTCATGTAGCATCATCTGGTAGTTCTGTATTACTGAGCTTTCCAAAGCTCACTCTATTACTCACCTTTTCAGGTTAAAAGAATTGTACCAGTGCATCTATCGACTTCAGTAAGGGAGTTCTTCCGGTGTTGTTGCAGAGTATGGTACATGTGATTAGGGGGCATGTAATTGTATTTTGATTTATATACGAGTTTGGAAATCTGTTTTATTTTTAAATAGTGAAAACTGATTTTATAAGTTTACATGTTCTGATAAAAAGTTTTAAATTTTCCGCCATTTTTTTACAGTGAGTCGCTCCGGTGGCCCTAATGTGACTTCCCGGATCGGATCGGGCTACCCGCATCGGTCTGGGGGAATAAATCTTTCCTTTGTTGGACCTTGTGAACCTCTTGAATCTTTTGGCAAACAATGTCATTTCTTTATTTTCATCATCTTCATTTGAGCCACTTTTTTTTTCTTTTGTAGGCTTGAGAGCAACACCTATATTTTTATTCTTTTCCTTTTATTTCTTCTCTTGTCATTCTTCTTCCTTCACAATCATCTCATGATTAAGCAAAAACCCAGTGAGCTCGTCAAGAGTGAGAGTCTTAAGATTCTTTGCTCAACTATGGCGGTCTTCTTGGATTGTCAAGACTTGGAAAGATTATAGATCATCTTTCTAAAAACATTCTCATTAGGAATTACTTCTCCAAAGCCTTTGAGACAATTTACAATAACAGAAAATTAATGGGTCATGGATTTGATATCCTCATCCAGTTTCAACTTGAAGTTTTCATAATTATGATTGAGAAGACTAATCTTAGTTTCTCTTACCTCATTTTTTCCTTCATGAGTAACTTCAAGTTTGTCCCAAATCTCCTTGGCATTGGAACAAGATGATACTCTTCCATATTCGTCATGGCCAAGTGCACAAAATCAAATGTGCATTGCCTTTGCATTGATCTGGAATGATTTATTTTTTTCTTCAATCCACTCCTCCATTTCTCTAGTTGGAGTAGAATGTCCTCTCATCATGATGCTCCATTCTCCCAAATCATTTGATTGAATTAAAAACATCATCATATTCTTCTAATAGGCATAGTTGACTCCATTGAAGTATGAAGGCTTGTTGATAGGTTGAGAATCATTGACAATGTTGAACCTTGGTGTAAAGGCCATAGATGACTTGAATGATTACTTGTCTCTTCCAGAATCTTATCAAGAGGTGGTAAAACCTTCTAATGAGCATTGCTTTGATACCAATTGTTGAGTTAATCGATCAAAAAAGTGGCCAAGAGGGGGTGAATTGGCAATAAAAAATTGTTGGAAGCTTTAGCAATAAATAAAAAAAAAAGAAACAAGGATTTTAGAGTGGTTCCACTTCCTTAATGAAGTCTATATCCACTACCTTAGCTTCCTAACAACAAAATCACTAAATTGTTCTAACCTTTTAGGATAAGGTGTAACCTTACACAACACTAAGACTTATACCTCAAAGTCTACAATGTTCAATCCTTCCCAAGAAGTAATTACAAATAAGAAAATTTTGAAAATCCTTACAATGATAGATTGTTTGCAAATTAATGCTCTCTCACACACAAGAACACTAGAATAAAATTGACAATGAATAGAATAGTGTTCAAAGTAAGAAAGACACAATTTGAATAAGAATTTGGCTCTTTTTGCTCTTTGATTATTTGAATAGCTTTCTTGTCTCTTCTTGATTATTTTAAGACCCCTTTTATATTCCCTCATTGATTTGTAAACTTTTGAGGTTGCTAGAGGGAATTTGGAGCCATTTGGAGCAATACATTAGTACATTCAATGTAAACTTGCATATGGGTTTCAAAACTACCCAATGGGGTTTCGAAACCTCACTAAAAAAATTGATCGTTGAATAGGGTTTTGAAACTTTAAGGCTAATTTTATCTACTACTTTAGGGGTTTCGAAACCACCTAAGGCAGCTTCGAAAACAGGCTTAAAACCTTAAAATTAGCATTGTTTCATTTTGCAAAAGTATTTTA